AATCTCTCCCCAGGGAGGCTCGCCTCGCACATTCATTATACACCCTTAGGTGCCAGGCAAAAACGCTCTTGTTCAACCTTTGTCTGGTTAATATTCTACATTCTTTTAAATGTGTTTGTGGGAGCAGGGGTTATTGTTTTATTGATTTTGTTTTAACTATTTTGTGCTTTTACGTTGTATCTTGTGAACCACCCGGGATCTTGTGACAAAGGGTGGTATATAAATCTAATCAACATTATCGTCATCATCACAACCTGCTTCTCCTGACCGAGGAAGACATCTTCATCCCAACTCTCTTCAGGATTTTCCTCATTATTCAAATGGTTCCCACCCATCACTCATTAGTTAGCTTTCCAAATAATATCCTCAGCTCATTGAACACTGATGGTGCTTGTCTGAATGGGAGACAAAGGTGTGCATTTCTGAGTGTGTGTAGAAGCTAGTACATTGGGGCAAAAAATAAAAAAATCACATTTGTTGCTCCACCCAATTTAGTCCTTGGTCCCACCCACCACAGGCAAGTGCCTCTCAGAAGGTTGTGGCCCTCAGACTCCCCAACCCATTATGAAACCTGATAATGGATTTGCAAAGTAACCTGCTGCTGCTAGGAAGGCATTTCATTCTCATAAACTCCATCCACTAGCATCTGAGTTAGTATAAGGCCTAGAAAAATGGTGTGGAAGTCATTTCCTCAAACCCTATGTTTGAGATTGGGGGGGGGGATAGAAGCTGGACCCAGGTGCTGTGTCTATGTGTCACTCGATACCTGTCATTTGCAAGGCTGCATGCCCTTGGTCACCCCATTCTGTCCTCTGCCTGCTTTCGTTTGTCCATTGGTATCTTGGCTTTTATAGAGATGGCATTTGTCTCTTCTTTCGCAGGTGCTTTTTTAATTAATCTCTGGAAAGTGCTGCAAGACCTTTTCACAGAAGGTGTTATTAAAAAAAATCCTTATCCGTAGGCAAAGGAGCCACAAGTTTAACGGCGCACATTGTATCCCCAAGAAGATCATGCAGAGTTATAAAACATTACAGAACAAAAGGAGGGGGGGCGATTCTCTAACTTTGCTGACCTATCACATTATCAGCTCCAGCGCAAAGCATAAAGCCTTTTGATCTTGCAGGCCCCAAGGTGGCTCTTGCATGTAAAAAGTGGTGATTTTATCTGTCAAGATGCACCTCAAAAGGATTCCCTTGGCAAACCAACCCTCCCCCTGTTCTGGAGAAACAGGCAAATGGAGTGCGGTGCTGCGAATGACCTTGAACTACAAAGCTAGTGCCACTCGGCTGCTCGTTAGCGGTCAGCCGCGTGGTTGCCTCCAGGGAAGGCTGCCGAGAATGTCAATGCAGATGCCAGCGAGGTTGACTTGACAAAGGAGAAGTGGGCCTAATCAAAGGGCAGGGAAGCAAAGCAATCCTCAGACGAGGGATGGGGGAGGAATTTGGAGGGTTCGATTTTCAAAGCATGATCTCCACATCCTGGACGAATGTGCAGATTGGACGTGGGTCTCCTTCACAGTCCTAATTTGCCCTAGATTCTACAATGAGGTGATCTAGGGGCTGGCATCTTTTAAAAACTTTTTAAAACATCTACTAATCACATTGAGCAGCTAACATGTGCACTCACGTCGAAAATGTGGCTGCAATTACCCAGAGAAAAGGAATGATATTATAAGGATTGTATGAATGGGGGTGGGGGGTGAGGAGCCAGGAACTGTAGTTTGCTAAAGGTTGCTGAGATTTGTTAGGAGACCCCTCTGTTTCCCCCACCCAGAGCTACAATTCCCAGAGCGGTTTAACAATCAATCTCTCTTCCCAGGGAACACTGGGAATTGCAGCTCCGGGAGGTGACTAGAGGTCTACATCTCTCCCACTGAAATTAAGCGGATTTAAGAAGTGCTGAGTCCCAACTGGATTATGCCCCATGATTTTGAGGCCTTTAATCTGTGTGAACTCTGGGGCACGTTTGCTCCCATAAAGCACAACAAAACCTAATCGAAATTTCAATCAAGCATACAGCTGAAAGTATCAAAAGCAATTTCAGAAACAATTTTGGAAAAGAGTCAGTAGAATACTTTGGCACACTGTGAACCCTCTAAACGTAAACCGAGCCTGTTTGTGTGTGTGCGCCAGTGCCGTAATGTAAGGCTGCTTATTTAACTTGACACCCCTAGAATCTTATGTCACTTTAGCTGCAAAAGTACCCCCTTGTCCACAAGCACCATTGCTTGTTTATCACACATATGGCTGGGCTTTAGAATGGCAGGTGACAGTTCCACAAGAAATAAATTGTGCCTATTGAATCCAGCTCAGAAAACCATTTTGGTGGTTTTCATTTGAAAGCAATCTCCTTCTGCTTACTAATGTTCCTCAACTCTCTTCATATTTTCAGCAAAAAAATCTCCCCCCAAAAAACTGAATTGTCTTACCTTACTCCGTTGACTTGAGAGAAAAAGGGGTAGTGAGTTTGAGATACCATCAATTGTTGTTGGGAAGGGCAGAGAGTTTCTACACATTTTAGAAAAGGTTTGTGAGAGAGGCAGTGTGCAGAATAATCATATCCTCTTCTGCTCCCCTGCCCCGCATCACCCCAAAAGAATTGGATGTGGTATTTTTAAAAGCCTAATTGTTTTCAAATATGACTACATTCTCCACAGCAGGTTTTTCTTCCTTTTAGTGCTGCAAAACCCTGGGGGGAAAACTCTCTGACTGAAGACCAAAGTTATTAGCATTGAAAATAAGGCCACTTTTCCCTCACACAAACACACACAACTTTCTGGGTCCAATTGTAGTGTTTGCTATTGGTATTTTCAACCTGGGTGGATCTGCACTCATGGGTTTTAACATTAAGGAATGGGTTTTGATAACCATGTGGACACATAATGTTCTGCTTTTAACGTTCATAGTGTGTTATTAGAATGTGACACCAGAGGGGGCTGCAGAGCAAACAGGAACCAGCCTTAGGGAAACAGTGTTTTGACAGAGAAAACAGCGGTAAGAAGCACTTTATTTTATATGTCCTGTGACATTTTAGAACAATGTATCTAATATTGTTCTAACAACCTTAAACAAGTCAGTGTAGATCTAGCCCTGGACTCTCAGATGAAACTTGGTGAGAAGGCCAATTTTAGTTAAAATCAGACATTTGCATTGCATATCTGCATTTTTATCTTCAGTTACCACAACTGAGCAATTGCTAAATGATTAAAAAAAGGGGGGGAGTGTAGCTCTTCATTTTCTCTAAAGCTGCCTGTAGAGGCTCACATTTATGATCAAGGAGAAAACCAGAGGGATAGGGTACCCACTCTGGTCCACTCACACTGGTCCACTCTGCCTCCCTCTCCCACTGGAAACTAGCCAGTTCAACTCAAATTGAGGCCTTAACCACAGGGCATCGTCTGGGTGACATTCTTTCTGCTCTGAAAATGAGAAAGACTTTCCCCTTTTAACTCCCATACACCCATCCCACCTCAAAGCGTCATTCAACAGCAAGCAGGGATGCGGGGCTTTTAAATTGCTCAAAATATATTGCTGTTATGGGACTTGATTGACAAAGTTAGGAAATCATTAAAACAGAAAGTGCTTTCTTCATATCCTTTCCTTACGGTGCCATTCAAAACCATATTCTTTCGGCTACAAACATTTCACATGAGCAATATTGAGTTTGAAGCGTGCCAAGGTGGCATCTCATTCAAATCCACTGAATATATTTTAGATGTTCAGCAGCTTCAAGTACTACTAAGTATAAGCCCAACAGTTATGCAAAGCAAGAAACACCCTGAAGCAATTTAAATATCGGAACAACAACATACATACGTGTGTGTGTGTGTAAAAATTAAAGTTTAGGTGGTGATGCATGGAAGCTACTTTTAGTGACAACAGTTTTGCTACTATCAAAGCACAAATTTGATACTCAAGGATCAGTCAGGGAAATCAAATAATGTTTTAGAAATGTTTTTTTCACAGATATTAAAACATATGCCTATTGTAACATACTGGTGCAGTTCGTGATTTGTGTTCACTGCATCACTTCCTTGGACAGCAGTGCAGGAACAGGGAGTTGGGAAGGCTACCCCTGATGTCAACTCTACAATTATACCAGTCTATGCTTCCCTTCCCACCACCACTCCAGTAGCCAGCATTCAGAATCAGAACTGAAGAGTTCCATGTAAATTCTTCAGAATACCTTGTGGTGGTGTTACATCAAGGTTACTGAAGGGCACCGCTGGAAATATTAATGCTGTCACCTTCCACTTATCCATTTGGAGGAATGCTGCTGTTTTCATAATTACCACTAGTGCCCACCAAGTAAGACCCATCGGAGGCCAATTGGTTGAGGATACCTTCAGATGTGGAGCTGGGGCAGCTCAAATGTAGTGGTCCATGGTTTCTAACCAGGGTTAGCAGATAGGAGGGACCCACAGGTGAGCACACTCACTCTTTTTCACTCCTGTGGCACACCCAACCTGTTTCCCTTCACACTATCTCTCCACCTCCCTTTCGTTTTCCAGATTTCACCACAGCAGCACTGTACCCCACCAACCCCACTCAAGGCCTGCTGGAGTTCACAAGCAAAGCCGGAAGCAGGTCTGAAACCAATCATGGTTAACATTATCATCAATGTGTATGCAACATTGCACTATAGTTAGCTCTGAAAATGGAAGAGAGCAGGGCAATCCACATGTGGAAAGGGTAATGGGAAGAAGGGAAGATCTGAGAGACTGCTACTCATCTCCTAACCATGGTAGATAGATTGTGAGCATTATGTTTGCTTTCAATGCAGTGACTTTATGTCATAAGCATTTCAAAAGAAGCAAGGTTCAAAACACAATGAAAAACCTCTCTCTCTCTCTCCACAATCACATTGTAGTGTGAAACGTCCCTTTGAATTATATCCAATGCACATAATTATGTCCATATTAGAATTGCCATCTATAGCCAGTAAGCTGTGACAAAAATATATACCAGAGAAAGGACAATATATCAAAAGGAAGGACTTACTTTTCTGTCCTCCGTTTCTACACAAGAGCTGCACTCCACTTTAGTATCCTGAAAAAGTTAAGAAACAACTAGTAAGGGTGGGGGGAGCTCTCTCTCCGAAACAACAATGCCTGAAAACCTAAAAATAAAATGATGGTTTAATCTGAAGTTCAGAGTTCTCCTTTTCTCCACTTTCTCTCTCCCCCCCCCCAAACCACGTTAACTTATCATATTAAATATTTTATAGATACGAAAATATCAGACTTTCACATATTCATTTGAAATGACCTTAAGTGAACTTGACTGTAAGGAGATGTGCAGGATGCAGTAACCAAGCTTAACCCAACAGAACAAGAAAGGCCAAACCACAGTTTGGTGTTACATCAGAATAATGTCAATGTGTTTCTTGCTCTACCTGATCATGCAAGCATTACCATAATTGCCTGACCTGCTGTGGGCTTTGAACTTATCCCATGTGGATTGGGGAAGGTATGAAGGGGACTTTTGCTCACTTGAACCAAAGTAGAAGACCTCACATATTGTTGATTGCCCTGCTTTATCAGGGCCACTGACTGAGCAGAGATTGAACTCACATTAAAACAAACTTGAAAAATAAGTCCCCTGGTCAATATGGGGAAGTCTGAGGACTAAGCACACATTATTGTCTCGTTAACCATGCCTGAACCATGCAAATGAATGAACATCCCTCAAAGGAAAGGCACATTCAGATATAACATTAAACATTATTTAATGATACACGAAGGACCCTACCCCAGCCTTGTGAGCCTTCCAGCAGAGGGTCAAGGAACATATGGGAAGCCTTTGCTTCTATTTTAAGTTTTCACTCACTACATCCAACCCAACATAAAACTGTGGTTTAGCTAAATGGAGTTGGGAAATGTGGCCCTCCATGCCTTAGTATCTGGCCCTCGAGAGTATGCATAGGCCGTGCCTCCTCCCCAGGCTACAACCTTCACTGGCACTGATCCATAGCCTGCCCTATTTTTATTTTGTGCCTGGTGGGAATAGAATTGGCACAGATGTGTACTTGGACTTTGATAATGGCTCTTGCTTTCATGTATGTAGAAGCCACCCACTTTTTGTGTGTGGCTGGATTGTAGCCTACTTTACCAAGAGTCACACCCTTTCCCCCACTCAAAACTGGCTGTGGGCCCCAGAAAGCTTGCCCACTAAGAAATGTGACCATTGGACTGTGCAGAGCAGGTTCCTCACTCTGGCTTAAAGGAACAAATGGTTTACAACCCGGGCTTGTTTCACTAAACTAAGGTTATGCTAAACCATCACCTTTGAGTTCAGAGGCAAAAATAAACCACTGTCAGTTCAAGAAAGAAGCAAAAAAATCCAAGCCTCCTCCTCAAAGGGGTATTGATTTGTTCAAAACTGGAGGATGAGGGCTTATGGGGATGCAGAGCTCTATGAGTTAATTAGACCCTGTAAATCAGGGATGGGGAACCTGTGGTCTGGCAGGTGGGGCTCCATCACCCATGAGCCCCAGCCAGCATTGCCAACTGTCAGGGATGATAGGAGCTGTAGTCAAACACCAGGTTTCCCATCCCTGCCCTAAGCCATGGTATTACAGAGTTAGAAAAGTTTCTGATAGCTCACAAAATGCAGCCATTATCTATGATCTCCTTTAAAAATGAAAGTGGATCCCTTAATGTAAGGGGAAAGGATGGGCAACACATCAATGAACAGCAATATTCTATTCCCCTCTGCCAACTGTACCACCAAACAAAAAGAAAGCCATCTGCTTTATGAAAAACACCTGCCATCTTTCTAAGCTAATTCAATATGCTCATGTCACAGTTAATTTACTGAACATTCGTTGCTATTCTTCTCCCAAACAATACACAAGGCCAACTTTGCAGGTGCCTGACGGAAAACAACTGTGTTTGTCAACACTATAGGGGTGGTCTAAGAGCACATAGCCACCCTTCATAGGGAGGCTTTCACATATTATCTACTATGGGGAGATGTGCAAACATTATCTGCACATGGGGAAAGCATGCCTCTCCCCACATGGGGGAAGAGACATGTCCAATACCCCATGATCCACTGGAGATAAGCCCAAACTTAGACCCCAGTTGACCACAAGACCAGCAAGATGGCTGCCACTCCAACTTTATTGAGACTCTTGGTTGGGCCTCACACATTCTTCTGCAGGTAACAAATCCCCATCATCCTACAAAATGCCAAAACAGTGAGTCTTTTTTCCGTTACTTCTGGCTTAACGTGTTCTGTACTGGATTCATCCCCCATGGCAGCTGCTGTAGACCACAAGAGGTCCACCAATACCAGTTCATTTGGTGGGTTGGTGACAGAGTTTCTCCAGCTTTTGAGCCCCATGGCAACCCAGTGGCCCCTTTCTCCAGGCTATGGTAGTGGCAAGCCCCTGCTTAGAATCACCTAGTTTCACACACAGTGATGCAATCCAACAGCAGCTGTTATGAGGGCAGGGAGCAATGGAGAAATGTTAGAGAACAGAGCTGTGTGTGCCGCACGTCCTGTCCTAAACTGTCCAAGCTAGCCTGCTGCTCTCAAATGCACTGAAGTGTGCAGCTCTGTTGCCAAGGTTGAAATGAAACTCAACTGACATTTGCAGCTGGAATGGGAAGGAAGGTGGCCTCTTATATTTTGCCCCAAGTGGCAAAATGTCTTGGGGTGGGGTCCAGGTGTAAAACCCTGGTCTTACCACCACCACCACCACCCTAGATAGTTGTGGTTGCTGCAGTCAGTTTACCTGGCTCACGTCTGCCGAGTGCCACCAACCATCTTCACTGTCACTTCCCCAACGCCTTGCAAGCTTACCAGGCCAGGCAGGGATGGGAAATGAGATTAAGGAGAAAACTGCTGAGTGAAGCAGCTGCAGCTGTTATCATCTTCACTGATCTAGGAAGCCCCTGGGCTCCACTGGGGGTCAGAGGTAATCTTAGGAAGAAGAAGAGTTTGGATTTGATATCCTGCTTTATAAGGAGTCTCAAAGCGCCTAACATTCTCCTTTCCCTTCCTCCCCCACAACAAACACTCTGTGAGGTGAGTGGGGCTGAGAGACTTCAAAGAAGTGTGACTAGCCCAAGGTCACCCAGCAGCTGCATGTGGAAGAGCAGGGACGTGAACCCGGTTCACCAGATTACGAGTCTACCACTCTTAACCACTACACCACACTTCCTCCTTGAGGAAATAATAGTTCTGGAGGTTGGGGGGGGGGCTATGGCATGAGGTGAAAAGATCAATCTCTTTTCCCATCATGGTTCTGATCCAAAAGAGCACTACAACACACTGGCTTTCTCTCGTAAAGACGATGGGTGCTTCTCTTCAGAGAGAAAAAGTTTGGTGTTTTGTTTTGTTTTTTAAGGGGGGGGAGTGATGATGGTGTCAGCTCTGATGGGCCTTACAAGGTTTTTAGGACCCACTATTGGCCCCACGGGATGCGGGTGGCGCTGTGGGTAAAACCTCAGCACCTAGGACTGGCCGATCGTCAGGTTGGCGGTTCGAATCCCCGCGGCGGGGTGCGCTCCCGTTGCTCGGTCCCAGCGCCTGCCAACCTAGCAGTTCGAAAGCACCCCCAGGTGCAAGTAGATAAATAGGGACTGCTTACTAGCGGGAAGGTAAACAGCGTTTCCGTGTGCTGCGCTGGCTCGCCAGATGCAGCTTGTCATGCTGGCCACGTGACCCAGAAGTGTCTGCGGACAGCACTGGCCCCCGGCCTCTTAAGTGAGATGGGCACACAACCCTAGAGTCGGACATGACTGGCCCATACGTGCAGGGGTACCTTTACCTTTACCTTATTGGCCCCACATCTCTCTGCATGAACGCCAAGGGTTGTTGGCAGTCACTAGTTTTATACAGGCCTGCACATGTTGTTGAGAGCCAGTGCTGTGTAATGGCCAGAGTGTTGAGACTAAGGCCTGGGAGACCTAGGTTCAAATCCCCACTCAGCCCTAAAGCTCACTGGGTGACCTTGGGCCAGTCACTGCCTCTCAGCCTAACGTACCTTGCAGGGCTGCTGTGGGAATTAAATGATGAGGGGAAGAACCATGCACGCCCCATTGTTGTTCATTGGAAGAAAGAGTGGGTTAAAAATGCAATAAATAAATAACAACAGTTTTGGAAAAACAACAGCAACAACAACAACAAAAAGTATACTGCATTTCCCTCTCCCTAAGCATTCTTCATCAGTGAATGATGTGGAGTGGGGCAGAATGCATTTGAACATTATTAAAGAGGAGAGGGGACAATGGTGTCATTTTTCTTTCATCCTGCAAATCATCTCTTCTGCGGTCTGAACTCTGCAGCCTTCCCAGCTGTCCACACTTCAGGCAATGCCTAGTGGGACACATGGGGAGGAGGCTCCCCACCCCATTCAGGAAGTGGAGGCAGTCAGGGAAGCCTGCAGACTGCTGGGTAAATGTTGACTGGAAAGAAAGAATGGACAATGATACAGCAAGCTCAAAATCCTGCAACCAGAAAAATTATAAAGAAATTCTCAGGAAGATGGAAGCCTCTTTCAAAGGGGAATGTGGTTTTTGGTGTGTGTGTGTGTGTGTGTGTGTGTGTGTGTGTTGTTGTTGTTGTTGTTGTTGTTGTTGTTGTTGTTGTTTTAAAATACATTTGAGGGCAGATTTCAGCAGAGGACTAATAGCCACCCTATGAGTCTTAACGTCAGCAGGGTACAGAACTTGATGGGTAGGAGGAAGTAATGAGACTATGGCGCAGAGATGCTGTACAGTCATGCCCAAGCTGGTTCTTCAATTAGTCTAGCTGCCCTTGGAAACACTAGCAGTGGCTGAGAGACCCTCATAATGCCCTCATTATTCTCTTTGGTCCAGGCAAAATTTTGGCAGCCTGCAGTTTGTGTGGGCTACAATATCAAAAATGACCAGCAGATGGAGGCAAACAACCACACAATCAAGCTGGATTTCTTCATATTTAGGGACCAGGTTGCAAAAAAAAAAAAAAACAGCTTCCTTTTTGGCATCAAACAATTGGGTTCATTAGATCAAACATGAAATTGCACAAGTTTCTGCAATGACAAAATCTTATCCCTA